GTGTTGTTATCTTTAAAAACGATAACAGAGATTGTTTTTTGTAGCTGCATTCCATATCGCCTTAGTCGTGCTATCGTATTTGTGAAGTTTGCAAAAATTTAAAAAAAATTAATTGTTGCTAATGGAAAACTTTACCAATCAAGAATTGGCGGATATGCATTTGGCATACGGAGCAACAAGCTGCAATGCAGCGCGGTTGTATCAAGAACGTTATCCCGAACGACAGCATCCGGGATACAAAAAGTTTATTGCTATTCATCGGCGGCTCTCCGAGACAGGCATTTTTAAAACCAGCTCACATGATACTGGTGTTGCTCGAACCGTAAGAACGGTCGAATTTGAAGAAGAGGTCCTTCAGCGAGTTGCCGACGAACCATCAAGTAGCACACGTCACATTGCTGAGGATATGAATACGAGTAACGCTTCCGTCAGGCGGGTGCTACACGAGCAACAACTTTATCCTTACCACTTCCAGAAAGTTCAAGGATTGACTGCAGCCGATTATCATCCTAGAGTTCAATTTTGTCAATGGCTTCTTCATCAAATCGTTTTATGGACCGATTAAGCCTCTTTCACAAGAGACGGTATTTTTAATAGTAGGAATAGCCACGTTTTGGACAAAGAAAATCCCAACGCAATTTTTCCTAGAAAACATCAGCAACGTTGGTCTGTCAACGTATGGACAGGCATTGTTGATTATTTGACTGGGCCATACCTTCTACCGGAACGGTTAACAGGACCTATTTACCGGCGTTTCTTGGAGGAAGTGCTTCCAGAACTTCTTGAAAATGTTCAATTGAACGATCGACAGCAAATGTGGTTTCAGCATGATGGAGCGCCGGCTCACGTTGCTGTATTTGGCTCAGCGGTTTGGACACCGTTGGATTGCCAGAGGCGGAGCAGTTTCTTGGCCTCCTATCCTAGGTCACCCGATTTAACGTCGCTAGATTTTTTCCTGTGGGGATATGTAAAGTCTTTGGTTTACGAAACTCCAGTAGAAACAGAGCAAGACTTAATTGGACGAATTACAGCAGCATTTGAAATCATTCAAAACGAGTATCCAATTTTTAGTCGAAATCATGTGCGACGTTTACATCGGTGTATTCAGGTTGGAGGAAGACATTTTGAACAATTGTTGTGATGATATCATGTACAAAACGCAAAAATTAAATGCATTAAATCCTATTTAGACAATTGATCGTCTTTCTAAATTTTAACGAGTCTTAGGGCCGTAGTGCCGTAGTGACACTTTTCCGTATATGGGTCCCTATACTCAAATGTTTTCTACTGTTATACTGAATAACCCTTAGAAATTTGATCCCTTAGTTCTGAAACACCCTGTATATGCTCAAAGACAGTATGCAGATTACAAAAAATGGCGTCAAGTAGGTTGACTCCGCACTTCCCGAGCAACGCCGTCATCAGTTCATAATGTATCATCAGTGGATCAAGTCAGTCCAACAGGCGCATAAATTATTCATAGACATGTTTCCCGGCCCTACCGGTAGTACTGTCCACCTGGCAACGTCGACCCTCCCCAATTCCTAACTGTGTAATAAAACGTCTTCACCGATACCAAAGATGCAACATTCACAATCCCCAGGTTTCAATCCTTACATCATTTTTTATAAAAATAATCAGGAGCCTCTGAAATGTTAAAATAGAAAGTTTGAGCGCTTTTTAGCTTTATCGATTGGGGTACTGATTTTCAAAAACCGCACACCACAACCACTAGCTTTTTCCTCCTTGCCATAGTAGTGATCTTGTGTGAAAATTTCATCAAAATCATCAACAGACCAGCAAAAATGAGTGACAACATGGATTTTCGCGATTACGATACTTCCTCGCCACTGGCATTAAACTTTCAAATGCTGACCGCTCATTTAATTACAGTCAGCAGCTTCGTCATAAGCCGCTCGCCTGTTCTCATCAGAAACACACGAAAATTGTTAGAAAAATCGAGGGGTCCTCACTTATGGACTAGTCCATCTAAACTGTTGCGGTAGGAATGACAAGCTTAAGTACAATTCTAGTACAAGCTACTTGCGCCTCTCTCGAAAGATTTCATTAAATATGAATTCTTTTGTCAATCTATTCATGCAAATTATATTATAAACTGTCCAAATATTTGTTGAGATTCCCTTGAATTCAATTTTTTCTTCAACGAAACCTCCCTACAAAAAGCAGTAATGCATCTGGCCGACTTGGTAAACTTTTTAAGATGCAAGGAGTTTTGCCAAAGGCATGTCTGGGCGTGCCGACTGCTCATAAAACTGCCGCGAAATTTATGTAAAATGATAAGATCGGTGAGCGGGGAGCGACTCGCTGGCTATTAAAAAGCGACATCTGTTGTGACCCTAAACTGGAGCACCGGTGATATCTGCGAAATATTAAAACATTTTAAGGCTCACCTGCTCGAAAAAGGATACAATGTGCTAAGTATTTGTAGAATTATTTCTAAATAGATGAATCCTGGGTCTGCCAGACATTGATAATTTTCTGAAAGACAACTCGTGAGGCATTTAACAGCGTTTATTCTGTAATTTCAAATCCTTGTGTAGATATCCAACCATCATCCTGAGCAAAAAAACACTCGTAAGTATAATTTATCTGAAGTCACTTGAAATAGCATAAAAACCTTTGGTCGGCGGCGCGTCCTTTGTAATTTCATGACGTATCATAGGCGTGCGGTCATTTATTTAGAACGATAATAATAATGTTTTTATATCACAATAAATGGATTTTACTATATTCTTATTTTTTTGATTTGGGATAAAAAATACTTATATTGGGAGTTTAATTTATGTTGACTGAAAGTTAAGAAATGGAAAAATTACAGAATTCCAACGTTTGACATAGGCAAATATTTACATAGCAGGTAGGTATATAAAAACGTACGTATATATAAAGACTTACATTATAGGTATTTATATATCATCCTCGCCTTCGGAGCTGTCGCTAGAGTCATCTTGTAGAGGAATTACAACGGGATTTACAGGAGGCAAAACACAATATTCATTTTCTTTTTCAATAATATGCCTAGAACACTGCTTCCATAGGTCTGTGGCAGCAATATGAGATACTGCATCTCTTATTGTGGCCAATAGCGATTCACTTAATTGAGGGGTCTGATTATGTTTTCTTACTTTTTTGTTAAAGCAGCCCAGACCAACTCAATCGGGTTAAAAATGCAGTAATAGGGAGGTAGACGTAATACTTCAAGGCCATTTTGCTGAAGCAGATTGTCAACAACATACTCTTTTTCAAATTTTTGTCTTTTAATAAGATCCAATAATATGGCTTTGGTTGATTTTTGTGGTATTTCCATTCCCTTATCCTTCATAAAATCGATAATGTCTTGTTTTTTTGTGCCTGTATTCAGAATTTTGTTTTTCTGTCGGGAATGGTATGGCGCATTGTCCATAATAATCACTGAATTTGGGGAAATGTTTGGTATTAACTGCTGCTCTATCCACTTTTCAAATAAGTCGGAGGTCATGTCCTCATGATAGTCGGCACATGATTCTTTGATATTTTTGGCAGATAACAGCAAGGCATTAGGTATAAATCCATTTTCTCTGCCAGCATGGAGAATAATGATTCGTTTTCCACGGTTGCATGGTGCATTTGAAATGCACTTGTTGCTGTCGTCATCCCAGCCGTACTGCACAACATCATGGGTATCATACCACGTTTCATCCAGGTAAATCAGATTTCTTTTCTGCTCTCTATAGATTTTAACTTTGTGCAAAAATTCTTGGCGCAATTCAACGATTCGAGACGACTCCATAATCACCATTCTTTTATCTAATTTTTTGTATTGAAAACCACACAGTTTTACAATACAGTGCAGTGAGTCTAAGCATTTGTAATTATAAAAATCTTCAGGATAATCTTTTAATTTATCCCGTATCATTTCCAACGTGGGCACCAAATTTTCTTTATAAAATCCGTATATTATACGACGAATATCTTCCTGAAAACCCACGTCTATTCTTTTTCATTTTTGCCCTATGCGCTTTCTGTGGAAGGAATGGTTGACTACATCTCCCCTTTTTATAACCCGATAAATGGTAGACCGACTGATTTTTGTCAGGATACAAATTCTGTTTAAAATTTGATTTTGCGAAGAATCTGGATTTTCGTTTTTCAGACAATCATATATATTTAGGATTACTCTTTGGGTCTGTTCCTCTAAATCTTTATGAAAGAATTCTGCCTGCACAGGTTCATCAACCATCTCCTCGTGGCTTGGAGCATTTTCCCAAGGTCTCCAAAGAGCCATATTTAGGACACACAAGAACAATCAACACAACAATTAAATCAACAAGTAAACTGAGTATTCAAAAGTGAAAAACACACAAACTAATAAAATCTATGAAAAAACACGGGACAGACTAAAGAAAACACGTTTATTCACCGCTACACGGCACTGGCTAAACTGTTTCAATTTTCAGTAGCCACCTGCACTTGTTCGGAGCTCTGAAATACACGCTTTCTCATTGGCTATGTCCACGCATAGGCGTGCTTTACTCCACGTGGACCGGTGAAACTGCCTTTGATCTTATACGATATTTGCTACGAAATTTGGCGATTTTTGCAGCAACAGAGCGTGTTAAATATAGATATATAAAACGCACCCGGTATTTCACAGTGTTTCAAGTGACTTCAGATAAAGTATACGTACTTTATATTTCGTGACACCGGGATCTCATTAATAAACAAAGTAAAGGATTGGTTCAAGGACCGAACCTTGAGGGACATATCAGCCTTAATAGACCGTGTTGTCGCTCCTCAAGCATACTCATCCAAACTGTGTCACAACTTTTGTCTTCTTTCACCACCCGAAAGATCGTGCCCCTCCAAATTATATTATAGAACAATGTAAGTTTCGCAATCTCCTACAATCTCCGTGAAAATAATTCGATAAAAGCACAGCTAAATCTGTCACGTTCTTGGCACTTCTGACTAATCGAACGCCGATCTCGAAAGAAATAAACCTCGACCGTCCATAAAATCCATATTAAATCTGATGTTTTTTCTACCAAGTGGAAAAGGGAAACTTTTAACACACACGAACACACACAGCAATAAAAAAGAACGTAACAATCTCCAAGTTCATTTACGGAGGAACGCCTCGCGTAAAAAGAATTTCTATACAAAATCATGAGCTAGAAACTCGACAGCGCTTTATGAACTTTTTCCAGATACGTCGATCAACGTGTCAATTTTAGTAGGCTATGAAAGAGTTTCTGAGAATGTAGCGCTCGTGAATCGGAAAAGATGGATCGATCGCTCCGTACGAGGGGAGCTTGAAAACTACGAAGACCAGGTTGAACTTGTTCTTCATGTAACAACAAAACGGTATTCGAATTTCTCAAAGCTGATAGCGCAGCACGGCAACTACAAAATTGTTTCAGAGAAGCTAAATGAATCATAATAGCAATGATATGAATAACACCAATGATAATCAAATAGTAATATGATCATAAGAATGTTATAATAATATTCAATAATAAATATGCTACAAAATTTAAATAAGACTTCACAAGAGTCCTCATATTCTACTGGTCGCCAAATGGGCTGATCGAAAAAGATAACCAGACGTTAAAAAAATGCAAACATCATGCACACGATAATGAGATCTTGCAGGTCTGTATTTGCCGTCAAAGTTGTCATCTTAGCAATTGTTTATCCCTAATTAGATTTTTCACAGTTCCAAATATATGTTTATACCTAATTAGGTTTTTAGCCCGTAACACGTGTCTACGAAGGTTCTTACATTGTTTTTATCTACTTCGATACAAGGTTACCTCTCGACAGCCTGCCGCAAATACGTTCAAAGTTATACTTTTTGCATAATTTTGACTAATGTCTCCACCGAAAAATACCCGCTCAAACTAATAAGTGTATTGTTGCCATCATTAATAATAGAAAACTGTTACGTACGTAGAAATACGGAAACCTCGGAACCAAGATCCACTGACGGGAGTTTAGATAGTGTTAGTAGAATCGGTTTAAAAATGCTGGAAATCAAAAAGTTTACCTATTCAATTTCTGCACTTTAGCAGCATAGTTCGAGGTTTAACTAAGCACGCTAGGATTTTTTTGTTAGTGCGGTCAACGGAGTTCAGTTTATTGAGATCTACTAGCTGGTATATTATGAACCTGATTAATCATATATACATAGGAAATGAAATTTTACAAAACTAAAACAAGTTGTCAAAAAGCGCACAAAATAGGCAAATTTTTAATATACAGTATTTTGAACGCATTTCGAGTTTCGAGGTTTAAACCTCCGAGTATTCCACTAAAGTTGCTTACCTTCTTACATAGACGTCTTGGGAAAGCATACTCACAGGATTCAAGGTACTATAATTCTAACTCCACAAGCACGCTTATCTATGATGATACAATACAACCAACAATGTAATTTGAATACTCACCTTTCAGTTGAGATGCGAACCAAAATTATACAAAAAGGTTTGAACTAGAATCAACTGATATTTAATATAGTATTTGGGTTTTAGTGGAACTAAGAAAAATTACTCTTCAGTTTAATACATACCTCTTAAAATTATATTTGTGATGCCTTTGGCAGGAAGGTAGTTTTGATTTTAGAGTTTCAACCTACAGGGAAAATGTGTCAAGGGCGAGACAAAGATGACAATCTCATGAATGACTTAAGGACACTTTATAAAAATAAAATACCAAGGTAAATAAGTTATTGAAAATAACAAAATCCTACATGTTCTATTAGTCTCTTAAAAAATAACATTTGGATCAACTGAGTGAACCCTGCTCACACAAGAACTAATATAAATAAAAACCACTATAGCTGTTTATATCTTGCAACTTAATATAGATAGCAATGTAGGTACCTGAGTAATAATAATAATAATAGAAATAAAATTATAAAAACTTAAAACAAAAAATTGACATAATATGGTCAGTCTTTGAATCACAATCAGTGCTTATAAATAAAAAATGGTAGCTAGCATAAAAATAAAATTAACATAGGTATAACCCGATCTTTTATGAATTCGAGTAGATACTCATTTTTCGAATACAGGTATAGGAGTGTGAATTTATAAAATAATCTATTTCCTCTCATTACTAGATTTGGCACCGGCAGTCTTTCTAATACTTTTCCAAATTTATGTCGGAAATGTCATGCGATAGATAGTAATTTAGCATTGCTTGAAAACTCATAAAGCCTATAATTTTCGTTCTTCTTAAAGAGAGCAAAATCAACTCCATATTTGCATGAATTACACACAAGTATGTTTCTCTTCTATGAACGTTTGGATATACAATCCAAAAAGGTCTCAAACGTCAAAATGAAGTATAACTTATCGGCACTCCTTTGTTTTTAACGATCCGTTCGTGTAAATGCTTCATTGAGTCTAGTAAAACCCTCTTTTGTTTTTTACTTTGTTTTTCGTAATGTAGTCATTTTTTCCTGAGCATAAGCGACTGTTGCAGTCTCCTTCAAAAAAAATTTAATTACGTTCTTTATCTTCTCTCTAGTTTCATTCATTCTTGTTCTCCTTGTCACGTCTATCAAACCTCTCCCGCAGTGGGTTATCGTTTCACAGGCTTCATATCAATTTGACTTAAAACTTTCTAACAAACCTACCACTCAATACATTACGTGTCTTCTCATTTTTCTTTTTGGTATGCTTTATATTTTCTTTTAGTTGATTTTGAACTACCTTACTGAATGACAGTTGCTTCTTCCACGTTCTCCTGACTACTTGGTTTCGTTTTTTTTTAGTAATCGGTCCACTTTTGACTTTGGTGACATTTTTAGACTTCTTACGTGATCTAGTTTCCTTTGAAATCTCTTCACCTTGTTTTTTAATCGATCAATTTCGTTTTCTTGTTTTTTGATAAGCTCATTTATCCGTTTTCTCTGTTTTTCTGAGGGTCTATTGGCACCTGAAGCTCTATAGTCCAATATTTGAGGATCGAAGTGTGGATCTTCATGGTCCGAAGGCGGCGGTGACTCTGGATAATTAACAATAGTTTTTTGCCTCACACGATCCCTATATCTTTCAGTTTGCTCTCTCCATATCTTTCTCATAGCTCGCTGTTCCCTATCTGTCAGATCTTTTATACTTCTAACTTGTACTTTCTCCTTCTTTCTGTGATACTTCTCTTTTTCTTTTTCTTTTAACTCAGCATTCTTGATTGGATCATTTTTAATTCGCTGGTCGCGTGGTCTTTCTGCTTGGCGTTTTTTCTCCAATCTTTACTCTCGGGTTTGCCTTTTTATAATTTTGCCATTTTAGCGAGTTATGTTTTTTTTGGTACCTGAAATTAATGAAATATATACCACATTCAACTTCAAGAGCAGGAAGCAGGCCGCTCAGAGCCCTAAGCTGGGCCAGGCAACTTCTTAGGTGCAGCCCGCTGATTGATGTAACAGATTGGTATGAACACTGACAATGAGCGTTTGATCACTGAATACGGCCCTAGGCGTCTGGCCGTGTCTGGCCCGGCCCCTCATGCCTGACCTATTTCAGATCTACTGCCTCTTGAAGTTGAATTTGGTATAGTAGCTACACATCTTATACAAAAAGGTGCCTTTGTATTTCCCCTGGGCAGTGTGTATTTCCCCTGACATAAAAAATGCCAGGGGAGTGACGCCAGGGAAGTGACAAAAACGTGCGTAAGCCCCAAAAAAGCAAGATATGTTGATTATTATATTATTTTAACGTGATTCGTGGCTTTTGTATTCAAAAATCTTAATTTTTTATAAAGTCGCGAAAATGTAACTTTTAAATTCACAAAGATATGCTTACCAGGGGAAATGCTTCACTCACTGGCAAAAGGGTATCGGACGACTGTTAGTGGGCTACTGACGCGTCCCTGGTCTTCGTTTTCCAAATTACGATAGTTTCGCACTATCCCTTCTTCATTTGCTACTTGCTGCTCAAGGTAAAGTCGCATAGTTGCCATATTTTGATGAATATATGCAATTTGAATTGCGCCAGATGAGGGTGACACTGTTCTCAGGAACCACTAATAAACGGGATTTTTTACGCATTTATGTATATTTTTAGTGTGCCTTTTTGCGAAAATATGTTATCAGATGTATTAGGTAATACAAAGAGTATCCGCTTATTGTTATACCAGTACATAATACAGAGATTTGTTGATGTTTGAAGTGAAATTTGGGAATGGAACATGCCAGGGGAGTATACATTTTGTTAACTTTCAATCAGATTTTTCCTAAATCTTAACGGTTACCTCAATTGCGCCATATGTTCCAAATAAAGATTGACATCTTCCACTATTTGAATGGTCTATTTCCACAATTTGTCCATTGGATTAAGATTTTTTTGCAGGAACATTGAATTCCCCAATAACTGATATTCACCCATTTAATATATTTCATTTGAGCCACAGGTATATTGGGAGCTAGGCCCTTCAGTTAACACAGCCAGTCTTGAAAAGCCCCATATATCGTGTGCGTCATTCTTTGAAAATATTGTAGAAACAATCCATCTCAACCCTGAATTTCAGCAGAAGGGACCTGGTACAGTTCCCAATACAATCTGAACACACCTCATGTAAGTTAAGACCTCATAGCCAGTGGTCCCTAGGCCCCTGGTGACCGCAAATCTCTGAAGTTTAAAAGTGCCGCACTGCAGTAGTCGCAACATTCAAATGAAGTAAGTTTGTTTCAGGAGAACCCGAAGGGACTGACGAGTTATTTCTCCTCAAAAAATAAGTTTTACCAGTACGTGGCTTCCAGAAGCGAGCAGGATATGAATAAAATAATTTTTATAGCTAAAGGGATGTCGAGACCTATGAAACGGATTTTATCAAACGATAGTTTTCTTTAATCATACTCAAAAAGTATTCGCAAGCTCAAAGTTTCCAAAAACAAATGTTTTTGCAATTCGTTGGCACTCGTATAGAAGAAAATCAGCATTTTAAACTCAAGATGACTGTATTATGATAAAAGCTTTCACGTCTAGAGCTTGTTAGAAAAATAATCCCCCATGTTTCTG